AACTTGCATATAATTCATTTTTTAACTCATCTTTTTGTGGAAATGTCCCACTTCTTCTGCATGCATGGATCTCCCCAGGAAAGAAATTGCCAGCTTTCATTGCACTGAAGACTCATTGTTGGTTAAAGGGAAAGAGAACCTCCTTGAATCTGCCCTCACTACCCTCCAAAAAACAAATGTTTTGGTACTGTCACAGAATTGACACCGTACAGTAGCTCACGTAGGCATCTGCAAGATGGGGGGGGGGAAGCAGGAGAATACTTTTGCCATGTAGCACCTATGTGGACATGTAGACAAACACAGATAAATAAACTGCATACAGATGCTTGTTTCCATGGACAGGTAGCCCCTTACTGAACAACTTCTCATTCTGAATGCATTCTCACATTCTGATTCAATAAAACATATAGTAAAAATTCCTAAAATGGAAAACTCCAATGGTAATGTATTTTAAAGGGCTCCCCTTTACTAACACTGACTTTTCCCAAATTATTTCTGTAACACATATCAAAACACAACATATTCCACTGATGTTATATGGCCAGGATCCCAAGAACCTGAGACTCTGGGCTTTTGTTGCCGTTTTCCTATCCAAACAACAGGCACGGATGAAACATCATAAATGACCTCTGAAACTTCCCTCCATTTCCAAAGCAGTGTGCCATAGGGGATAAAAGGTTGTTATTCAAGAAATACAACTCGAAAGCCCCTCATGATACATGGAAATAGTGTCATGATTCTTTGAATCATAAGTCATGTGCTTGCTTCACATACCTGCTTATAAAAATGAAAGATTAGCCATTGTTTGCCATTATATAGTAAGTAATTCTCCAGCTGTTTTGCTCAAAGTTCAGACTGGATGGAACAAACATACACCAGGAGCTTGAAATAATGATTAAGGTCGAATCTGCATTTGCATTTTTAAATCAGTTTCGTGCTGTTGTGATGCCATCTTTCTCTATGCTTGTTTGAATGTTGTTTGGAGAAGATTCTCTTACAGCAGGGGGGGGGCGCAGTGACAGTGGAGCCGCCACGAGAAGGTGATAAACAAATGTGGACATGAAAAAGTATGCTAGCACTGTTGAGGTGTGAAAATGAAACCAAATGTAGACAGCTTTTTTGAAGACAGAGTCAGAAGGCTGGCACACTGGTGGGAAAGACAAATGCAGATTTGACCTAAAAAGTTAGAGAAAGAAGGAATGTGTGTTCTTAATTCTGAATAACTGAAAAATAATAATTTTGTTCAGGCTTTTTGTACAGAAATACAAAAAAAAAAACACAAAAAACCCTGAGGTTGAAACTAAACACTTTTTAACTCAGAAATCAATCTGGATAAATTCTGACAAGACGGTGGCTACAAGTTGCACTGCATCGTTGTTTCCAAGAATTATTTACTAACGTTCTTTCCTTCAGGTGAAGGCCAGAGTCTACAGCCACTTACACCGAGAATGTCATATTGCCTTTCATAGGACCACACTGGAGTGAATGAGTTGTAGTCTGCTTTTGTCTGAAATGCAAGAGAACACTAGGGAAAATTACTACACTACATTTTGGAAAAACTTCTGTTTTGCAACAAAAAAGTGTTTTTTCCCAGGACAAACAGTATATGGTCCCAGTCACACCTACCAGAAAATGCAGGGGAGGGGAGGGAAGGGCGGCTATTTGTGCCATGATAATTTGACCCATCACTGCACGATCTGACCCGACGGCGGGTGAAGCGGGTGTTTTTCCTTGCAGCCTGCTTCCTGTGATGCGATTGGAGCGTGCCGGTGCAATCACACCGGCAACCCCGTCTTCCGCCCGTCGCAACCTCTTTGATAGTGGATTTTCTGTGTTTTTTTACTCCACTTCTTCGTCTGACTGCTACAGGTTGCTGACGGGTGCCAGACGCTTGCCAGATGTGGCGGTGTGATCGCGCCCGTAAAATTCGGCCGGCATTCATGAGTATTGTGGGGCAAATTCTGTGTGTGATCGGGGCCTATGTATTTCACAATTTTATTATTGAAATGTTTTATTCACAGTGGTGGTTGTATAGTATTTGTTTTCCTGCCCTTTCTTTAGACATCAATAGAGTGAATGTTCTATATAACGTGAGGTCACATACTAGATATACTGATTCAATAACAATTTCATGCATATAAATATAACCTATATTGTATACACCTTTTTCATGGCAACACAGCCATATTTATGTTAGCATTCTTTCTTATTTCCTTGTATAAGAAAGCCAGTTTGGTGTAGTGGTTAAAAGCGGTGGACTCTAATCTGGAGAACTGGGTTTGATTCCCCACTCCTCCAGCTGGGTGACCTTGGGTCAGTCACAGCTCTCTCAGAGCTCTCTCAGCCCCACCTACCTCACAGGTGTCTGTTGTGGGGAGAGGAAGGGAAGGTGATTGTAAGCCATTCTGAGACTCCTTCAGGTAGTGAAGGGCGGGGTATAAAACCAACTCATATTCTTCTTTCTATCTAGTAGGCCTGGATCTAGGAGCATCCCCAAGCCACACTCCTGTTCCTTCAAGGGGAATGCAACCCTGTCCAGAATGGGTGATACTTTAAGTCCTGGATCAGACCTTCCAATCAGCAGTAGCACTTCTGTCTTGTTGGGATTAAACTTCAGTTTATTAACTCGCATCCACTCCAAAACTGACTCCACCAGTTCAGTGTTTCTCTAGCCATATGAGACTCTTCTTCACCAGTGACTCCACATCTGGATTGACATAGGGTGAAGCCAGGTACCTCCATGCTCCTCCTGGGCCACAAACATGGATCATCACAAGGCAAAGCCAGCATCCCTATGCTTCCAGCTGCCTACCCCATAGGGTGGGAAGGCCCCTGGGACAGGCAACACTCCCAGACAGTAGCCAAACAGGATTTTGCCTAATAAAATATATCGCAAAACTGCCCCGAGTGGCATATAAATTTAGAAGAAACCCCATTTTTGAAAGGAAAAAAATTCCCAATTTTGTGTGGCCGTCCCCAGGGGCAGACCGGCCATTTAACTTACAGAGAAATTTCCTTATGGGCTGCTGTGCTACAGGGCCACTGGTGCTCACGAGCAAACAGGGCCAAGATTCAACAACTCTGCCAGTGCCTCAGGGACCCCTTGGCTTGACTGACAACTGGTATCTGTCCACCAACTGTCTTTTCCCACACTACTGCCAGGTTTTGGGAGTGAGTAAGGGGTGCGCTAATACCTGTTGTTTGCACTGCTGGTCTGATAGCTTGGCTTGTTCCAAGGCCACTTTCACTTCTCAATGAGCTCCATCCCCAGTTGCCAGGAAAATCTTCTCCCTTTGCAGTCACTACAGTGGAAAGCCTCCCAAGCCAAGGTTTGCTTACAATCTGCATAGTGGAAGTATTAAGTATTCTAGTTGCACTGATGAATCCCTCTGTTAACTAATCATAACAACAAGCCTTTCTTTAAAGCTAGAGTTGTTTCTGTTGCTTCATCCAGAGAGAAATCGTCTGCTGTTCGGGAAATCTTTTAATACTCTGAGAGTGAGAAAGGTTGGCTGATGGTTGGCCCAGAATAATTTGCCATGGATCCCCAAACCCTTTCACTGGTTTTATGAAAACTCCACATGAGATGAGACCAGGCTGGTTGGTTTGCATGCAAGAAATCTGCCCATCGTTCTCATCAGCGTTGCCTGACGTATCCGCGGCCCGCTAGACCGAGAGGTCAGTACGTCATTCAGGGTTTCAGCGGGGGAGGGGGGCGCTGGGCCGAGGGCGGACAGCTCTTGCGACTTTGCCCTTGTACGGTGCAGGTCGACTACCTGCGCCTGCCAAGAAGGTAGCGCCATGTGCACACGGCAAAGAGAATTCGCTTCAGCCATCCCTCCCTCCAGTCCCGTCCCCCCACCCCCGCCTCCAGTTCCACGTCAGAGGGCATGAATGGGATTCCGGGGAGTTGGAGTCACGCTGGCAGCAAAGGGCCAGGTTGGCTCTGCTCGGCGAAGATATGCCTTAGCGGGGCTGAAGCTGGCAACGCCACAGCAGAGGGCTAGCGCGGCTTGGGGCCCGAGAGAAGCGCGGCGCCAAGGCTTCTTCAGGCCGCGGTTAGCAGCGAGGTTGGGGTCTTGATTTGCTATCAAAACGGGAGCAGTCCGGCGAGAAAGCGGCCCGGTCGAGAAACTCCTGCCTTGGGAAGGGAGAGACGCCGCTTGACGCTCAGCCGCGCTGTTTTCTATAAAAGGGCAAAAGGCCGCCTCCCTCCCGCTCCGTCCGAGGAATGCCCGGCTGGAAAGCGATTTCGCCGCTCGGCCCGCGCCGTTAAGAGCTCGTCGGGCGCCTCCAAGCGGACTTGTGGGGTTCCTCCGAACGAGGCGCGCCAACCAAACGCAAAGCGCGCCGGTCGGAAAGAGCGCGGAGCGCGTGCAAGGAATCGCTGGACGCGTGCAAGTTGCAACAGTTCACACATTTGCTTCCCGCCGGGGAGAATAATACCGCGAAAGCCGAGGTACACCTCCTCGAGAGCAAACCCGCCCTGAGTTCTACTCCCCGGATGCTCAGGAGAAGGGTCTTAGGCAGAGCGGGTCATTCTTTTCCTTAGCAAGAAGAACAGTCTTTTGGAGGGAGACCTCCGCCGTTTACAACTCACCCACTAACACATCCACCCACCCACCCGAGCTGCAACAAGAGCCCACTTCAAGGATCCGCAGCTCTCTTTGCGCGGCTCTCGCTGTGCCTGGGCGGGAACCCCCGCCCTCCTAACGCAGTCAGCCCAGACAGAGCCGTAGCGAAGCGCCCCGTCGGTCTCAGACCTTCCTTTCCCGCCACCTCCGCTCCCCTACCACCCCGCCCGCCCGCCCGCCCTCCCCTGTATTTTGGGAGGGGGCGGGGATGTGTGTTTCTGTCTTGTTGTGAGGTAACTGGATAAACACCAGCCCGCTTCCCGCCCGGCGGTCGCTGATTGGCTCGCCCAGTTCTCAGGAATGCGAGCGACCCCTTAAAGGCAAGGGAGTCTGCGGCCACCACTCCAGTGCAAGCGGCCAGAGGCTGGTGGCCAAGGGGGACCTGCAGGAGCTACAGGTTACTGTTCACCCGTTTCGATCTACCACCGGCGAGGCTCCCGCGGGGTGTTCCAGGACCGCGTTCTTCTCCCGGGGTCTACGCAACTGGCGCGCTAAATTCAACCAAAGGAAACTTTAGGGGGTGCAGGAACTTGACAGGGATAGTGATCGCGACGTCTTCACTGAGTTGCTGCAGGAAATACTTTCTGCCTGCGGGTTGTTTGGGATCCGTCACCTCGTTCTACAAAGGTAAGTGCTGAAGGAACAGCTTTCTGCCTGCGACTTGGTGGTACTGCTAGGGCAGAAAACGAACGCGTGCCCTTCTCAGCAACAAGCAGACCTCTGCTGTTTTCTTGGCATCTGGCGACGGGAGCTTGACTTTGGAAAGCGTATTTCACCTGGAAAATCTTCTGGGTCCCTAAGGGGCTGCTGAACTCGAACCTAGGCGTTCTCTTTTCGGTGTGTTCCCTCTCCCTTTCTGTGCCGTGGCCTGCCGGTCTCCTGCCTTTCCGTCCCGTCGCCTAGCTTTGCAGTCCCGCTGCCGGCTAGCGCCCTCGCAGCCCTTCCAGTGACGCGGCTGCCGTCTCGCTTTCTCGTTTCAAGGTTTGGGGCAAGAGCTGTTCCATGGAGACCTCAGGCGTCCTCTTTCTCCTGCTGATGCTCGGCGTGGGCGCCACAAACCGAATCCCAGGTAAAAAGCGGCGTCAGGGCTGGGGGGTACGTGGCGGGGGGGGGGGGGGGGGAGGTGCTCCTAGCAGGGTCCGTTGGATTGAAAGGTGTGATGCTGCCTTTGGAACAAGAGCCCTAGAGTGGGCGGGCGCCCTGTGCCCTCAGGTTTGGCAAAGAGGCCAGACCCCCGGTGCTATTCTCGGCTGAGGATGGGACCCGGGCCGGCGGGTGGGCTCCATGACGCCCTCCGTTCCCTGTGGCTCGTTCTCGGCACTGCTGCTAGCCCTTTTTGGCGGCCGCTTTCCTTCTGCGCTTGGGCGCAATCTTCGGTGGAAAGCTTGGGAGGTCTCTAGACATCGCATGGGGGAAGAGAGTTGCCAGGGACACTGGAGACTGACTGAAAGTGCTGCCCTCTCATCCCGCGCGTTCCCTGGGGAGGGGCAGTACCCTCTGCATGTGCTCAGAGTCACTCTTCCTTATTCACTTGGAGTGCAAACTTGTTATTCACTGCGGGGTCTATGCTGAGATTCTCCTGCTGTGGAACTGTCACCCCTCAAAGATGCACACACTTGCCGCACAGTTGCAATGTGGTGAGACTATACAAGTCTTTAGCTGAAATTATTGTGTCCCTGGGGTATGCGCCTCCCCCGGGGCTGCCTTATGGGCCTTGCCAGTGTGGTCGCCTTCTCTTAGTTCAGACCATGCCTCTTGTCACAAAAATCTGTGCATCCCATCTCTTCATTGGTCAAAGTCCGGTCCTTTGGAGCTGGTGTAGCTGAAGCTGCTTTGCGGTCACCTGGCTTCGTGGCATTTCAGCTTTTGGCAGAATCTCCTGAATTGTTTCAGTGACTTTGTGTCTAACACTACTTCTGGACAGTGACTTGCCCTGTGGTTTGCCTCAGCCAGAGCCTTTTAAGAGGGCAGGGAAGGCAAAGTGTATTCCTAGACGGCCAGTAGCATGTATCCCTTTTCTTTCCCTTGAACCATAAGTACAGGCAGGTGAGACAAACTTCATAGAAGTTTTTTGTCAAAAAAAAAAAGGGTTCCGGTTCTGGGCGTTGGCTGCAGACAGCTGTTATTCACAACTCCGATAAACACTAAGTAGTTTTAAGATATTTTAAGCAAAAAAGTGATAAGACTATCAGCCTAGAAACTGAGTAGCTTTCCAGCTGCTACCCATTTGCAGACTGTGGGAGGGGAGCAAGAACTGCTGGAAAACTAGAGTTGGAGCAGATGCTGAAGGGCATTTAGGAAGTAAGGGAGGCAAAGGCTCTTGATTAGTTGTTGGCTGTAGCCCAACACTTCTCTCAAGGACCTTGGCCTCAATGCATTTTTTCTCCTTCACTTCTTAACTCCGGTTGTATCAACCGTTCATTCCTGTCCCGGCCAATAATATTCAGTCTGCATTCTTTTATTCTCTTGGCAGAATCTGGAGGAGACGATAACAGTGTATTTGATCTATTTGAGCTCATTGGCTTTTCTCGCAAGGGAGCTGTGCGCAAGGCAGGAGGGATACATCTGGCAAAGGGATCTGAGACCTCCAGCCCTGCCTACCGTATTGAAGATGCTAACCGTATCCCAGCTGTTCCGGACCACAAATTCCAAGACATTCTTGACTCTATCCAAGCAGAAAAGGGCTTCATCCTATTGGCTAATCTTCGCCCAATGAAGAAGAGTCCTGGCACCCTGCTAGCTGTGGAGCGCAAGGACAACTCTGGCTATGTCTTTAAGCTGGTGTTGAATGGCAAGGCAAAAACATTGGACTTGAGTGTCTTTCCTAAGGAAGGCAATCAGACTTTGGTGTCGGTGGAAGATGTTGAGCTGCCTACCTGGCAATGGAACAATATTACCCTTTTAGTGCAGGAGGATCAGGCCCAGCTCTATGTGGGATGTGAGAAGATGGTGAATGCTGAACTGGAAATCCCTATTCAGAACATCTTCACCAGGGACTTGGCCAGCAGTGCCAGACTCCGTATTGCCAAAGGGGGAGTTAATGACAACTTCCAGGTGAGATACCTTTCTTTTGGTAGCAGCTTTATGAGTCCAAAGAAGAGCTAGTTTTATTATAAAGCAAAGATAAATTGTTAGTTGAAGCAAAATATTACAAAGTTAGTATCATTTTCCTGCCTCTGGTCTCTTAACTTTTTTTTTTTTTTTTAAGGAGCTCTTTTCTATGATGGGGGGCAGTGGCAGTGGCAACCGTTTTGTGCCTTAGGCACAAAACTGTATGTGTTTAGATAGGCTTAGGATATTTATGATGGTTTTATTTAGGTTAACATCTCATCTGTATTTGTGAGGAAGAGAAAGCAAAGGAGAAGCATTTTCATGCAAATGAGCATTCTAGCCAATGTAGGCTTTACATTAGTCTGACAAACTCAGTTGAATGGACCTCTTGAAGTCTCATGCATGAAAGTTCCTTGCATCCAATAAAATTTGAAATTATCCAAGAAACTTGAAATGTGTGGAGCCTAGAAGTCCTCTCAGTTGAGAACAAGAAAGAAGTAGCATTCTCAGGGTATTTAAATAGCTATATCAGTGCAGTCCTAAACAGAGGTACACCCCTCTAAGACAATTTATTTCAGTGAATTATTGGATTTCAGTAAATGGTGGTTAATTTGGCACTTGGAAGCATGAAAACAACATTTAGGGGGGGAAATCTTTTTATTGAACTTAATGCAAAGATATAATTTGATTTAGAAATGTGCTGCTTTATTTGCAAAGCTGTCAATGATCAGTACCTAATACCTGTAATTCTCTTGTCCACAGGGGGTGCTACAGAATGTGCGATTTGTGTTTGGAACTACCCTGGAAGCCATCCTGAGAAACAAGGGCTGTAAAAGCTGTAAGTTTGCAAAGTTCCTTTAAATTTACCAATCTAAAAAATATTATTCTTTTTTGTGTGAGAAGATGCTGGCACAAATTTAGGATACAGTGAAACAGTATTCATTAAGAAATTGCTGCCTTACCAAGGTATTGAGCACAATACAATACACTTTTACTGTCTCTATCTGCCTTAACATGTACATCTTGTTGTTGATCTTGCAGCCACCAGGACAGTTATTAAACTGGACAATCCTATGAATGGCTCCAGTCCAGCTATCCGCACTAACTACATTGGCCACAAAACAAAGGACATCCAGGCAATCTGTGGGTTTTCCTGTGATGAATTAAGCAATGTGTTTGTAGAATTGCAAAGTTTGCGTGCACTGGTTACAACACTGCAAGATTCAGTCCACAAAGTGGTAAGTGACTAATAAATACACAATACTGAAACAGAAGAATAGAGGTTCTCTTAGTCTTCATTGATACATGGGAAACAAACAGCTTGTTTTCTGTGTATAGTCTGTTCTACCAGTTACAAGGCAGGCTTGCAAATAGCTGACCTGATGAGTAAAAATCATCTTCCTGGGTGATCAGACAGGGAAACCTCTGTAAGTAGGAAGAAAGCTTATTCTTTTTCTCTGGCTTGCTGGTATACCACAAATAGCTAGCATAAATATGGTGGGCAAGCAGACTTATAACTTGGTTCTTTTTTTAATAAGCTGGTTGGTTTTCTGGACTTTTTTAAAGGGGGCACATGAAGAAACCAGTATAAACCAAGTCAGATATATATGTACAGTTTTCATATTCTAGCACATACCTCTTTTATTTAGCTCTTTATTAAGCACAGCGCTTTTTGCTAGCTGCTGTTCATGAGATTTCACCCTGAGGACTCTCTATGTGAGTGGGATGAACTGAATGGAGAATGGCTCACATTCTGGCCTTTTGGCTAATATACTAAGTGCACTTACTTGGAAGCTGGCCCACCATAATCAATAGGACTGCCTTCCAAGTAAAATGTGAATTTTGCTTTATCTACCTCATTCAGACTGATCTTAAAAATACTGTTTTATGTCTGGTTAGAAGCATTCCTTTTTCCCACCTCTCTTTTAGATTATAAACAATGAAGTTGGCAGCGGTCCTTTTCAGATTAGTCCTGGAGCATGTATCCATAATAAAGTTGTGTATCAAAACACAGATGAGTGGACCACAGATACATGCACTACCTGTACTTGCCAGGTAAATATGAAGTTAGCAGTAAGAAATACTGAAACGTCTCATTTCCTGTCATGATCATGTACTTAAATGAAATCTTTTTTTGACTCTCTTGGAAGGGGACAAAGTGGAATATAAAGGTATTAAATAAACGTACATGCAGAAATGTTGACCATGCACAGAAATAGGCATGAGGTGCCTGCATGATATACCATCCCGCTACTGCATCAATATGTAAAAGCTTTAATGGTATTTCAAAGTCAGCCTTAATAATATGTTCCTAAAGAAACAGTTTGGGCATTGGAGTGCAGATAGAAGCAGGATATAAATCTTTGAAGTAAATTCCCAACAGTGCAAGCTGATTAATCCTGTTCTGAGCATTACTGCACAGCTGACATTATGTGCTACCGACAGAATAGCAATCACATTTATTTCTTGAAAAGAAATCTGAGTATAAGTTATAGTTTTAAAAAGTTAAATTTACAGTTAATAGTAACTGAGCCTTTCCAGTTTTCTAGTTATTTTTAAAGGATTTTAAAGAAACCGTGTAGGTTATAATGAACAGGAAAAAATATTGCACGTGTAACTGTGCAATGAAGTCGTCAGTCTCTCTGAAACACTGCTGATGAAATTTTAGTACAGAGTAACTATTATAGCATCATAGGGAGAATGCATAGCTCAGTGGGTAGACACTGTGAGTTGCATGCAAAAGATCCCATGTTCACTCCCTGGAATGTCTACTTAAAAGAATCTCAGGTAGTTGCGTTGAGGGCTTGGAAAGTCAGTTGCTGTCTGTTTAAGAAATGCAGCAAGGGTAGATGGACCAGTAATCTAACTCAGGGTAAGGCAAGTTGATAAATTCTTTAAAAACTCTGTATAGTGCCCTATTTAACACAGAGAACCGAAAACGTAACTTTTACTCAAGAGCTGAAGTAGATGATCACCACAGATGTATTCTCAAGAAATATGTATACCTATCTTATTGTTAATTTTGAATGAAAGGTAGCTAAAGGATAATGTCTTTTTAAGTAGAGGAACAGCGTGGAGAGGGATTCCCTAACATTTTCTTCTCTGACCACTCTTCCACTTAAATTGGGTCCACACTCCCATCTGCTCCTCCCCCACACCCACCATTTTCTTCCAAAAGTAGCTGTGGATAACTTTGAGCAAAACTACTGCACCAGGGAAAAGGATCAATCATCTTCTAGTCTCCAGTATGTCTTCTGTTCAGTTGCAGTATCGTGCTTTTGCTATTCATATAAAAATACATTGGGAGACTATTACACACATCTTCTATGTAATGTCTACTTTGTATCTGAATATTTCTAAAAGGACCATATCTTTTGGCATCTAAAAGACTAAGAACAAATAATGTACAATGTCCCCTTAAGCAGCGTTACACCCTTCTAAGCCTGCTGACTTCATTGGGCAAAGAAGAAGCAGAAACTTTGTTTAGGATTGCTCTGTATGTTTCAGGTGCCATAAGACTGTGCCATTGTTAGAGCCATAAACCAACATGGCTGTCCTAAAAACCTATGAAATTTGCTTTTTTAACTATTCAGAGCCTTCAGAAATTAGAACATAGTAATGATAAATTAATTTACTTTTTGACCTGGATTTAACTAACTATAGTGTGATTTTCGTTGTATTGCTGTCATCTGTTGTATTGCTGGTTATGTTGTTCTCTGAAATCTACAAAAGCACATTCTCTATGGTTATGTTGTTCTCTAAAATCTACAAAAGCACATTCTCTATTCTTTAAGAAAGAGAACTGGCAAAAGTATAAACTTTTTTAGAAGTTACTATTCATTCTCATGCAGTGCAGCTTTTGGATTAAAATAAAAGCCACATCCAAGTATAACATGGCTTGTTGGAGTCTGAGCCAACTCTACTAAATGCATTTTATCTTTGTCCATATAATCAGTTGAAACTCAGACTAGCGAACAGAAAAAGCTGGCTTCATGATCTTTGTTAGCTGTCTAACACTACTTCTGGACAGCTATTCAGAGAGATTTAATTAACACTTTTGGCAGATGCCATTTGGTTGACAGTAACAAAGGAATCACTGAAGAAATCATGACTATGAATGACCCTGTTGTTCGTAATGCTATCCTAACATTTTTTTAAAAAATGAAAAAAAAAAACCAGTTTGGGGGAGAACTACAGTCAGAATTAGAAGAGCAGCAGGAGTGCATAACTCTGTCTTTACCTATTGTTTCCCCCACTCAAAATAGCTTTCCAACGCTCCCTATCTGCAGGGGGAAAATGAGCTCTGGAGGGAGATTTTGCATGGGAAAATTGCAAGGGATAAACAGCGCACAAAGTTCTGTTCCAGCTCACAACCTCCTGAAGCTGTTTTTCTTTTCATTTTTTTTAAAGTGTGGAAATACTGCACATAATAACATCTAGTTGGGCCCCATGTCTCTTTGAAACGACTTTTCTGGGAAATTTATAATAGTAAGCTCTTCTCAGCTGAAAGAGTCAATGTTTTTATGTGTTTAATTGTTAATTTCATCCTTTTCTGTTAGAACTCTGTTGTCATCTGCCATAAAGTGTCTTGCCCTATCATGCCTTGTTCCAATGCCACTGTTCCTGATGGAGAATGCTGCCCACGATGCTGGCGTACGTGACTAAAGCTTTTTAACAGTTTCAACTGTGATTTAATCAGGGCTACTGTTCCACTGCATATCTAGAAACTGTGTTCTAAAGTGTATTTGAAGTCCCATCAAGTGGCAATAACATTCTACTGCCATTAGTCTTGAAGAGACCATGGGGGATGCGGTCTTAAGTTTTTTTAAAAGGATAGTACTGCTGTTCTGTGAATAGGCATTGTTTTGTAAGTTGGCTCAGAAATGCTGTTAACCATTTCCAGTAAAAACATGAGATGAGGACATTTCTGATGGTGGGCAGTGTCTTGTACATGAATTCTTGGTGATGGTGGTTCTGTGAACATACTATACAAGGCAGTTAACTCTGTCTAAGCCTAATTGATATTCTAGTTCCCATGAGTTATGCCCATTGACTTTACTGGATGTAGAAGAGTGTATCTCTGTTTAGGACTGCACTGCTAATTTATGCAGGGTCAGATGTTACACTGCCAATTACTAAAAAGTTGGTTGGTTGCATCTGAAGTTTTTGTCTTATTTAAAAGTACAATTTAATTTTTATTCCATGATATAAAGAATCAAGAGTGTAGCAGAAAATAGTACTACAGTACTTCATCTCTCATCCCACCCATCCACAAAAGAGAAGTTAATTGATGATTTGCAGTTGAAGAAGTGAGCTATTTCATTGTCCAAATTCTTAGTAAAAAGCAGTTTCTAGCTATTTAAATAAATGCATCATATAGCTTTATGATGTCTGCATATATAGGACAAGATTAGCCATTCTGTTGAGGAACCTTCCAAGTGAGACCACAGCCAAATAGGAAACTTTGGTAAAGTATCCCCTAGGAAGGTAGTTTCAGAGGGTAGCTGTGTTGGTCTGCAGTAGAACCGTTAGATTTTAGTCCAGTAGCACCTTAGAGACCAAAAAGATATTTCAAGGTTTGAGTTTTTGAGAGCCAAAGCCCCTTTCACCAGAGACGAGTAGGAATGGTGGTCTCTGAGTCTTTATATCCCAGTCAGAAGGTGGGAGGGGTGTTGTAAAGAATGCTTGTGAAGGATGCAAAGGTACCATGCATATTGTGGATTAGATCTCAGAGCCCTGCAGATCTACAAATGATGATTAAGCAACAAGACCTCCATCTTGCTTAATCTGGGCCTGAATCCATATATTACAAGTATTCTTGTGTGATCTAGTTAGCTATCAAAAGAGCAAAACAAATGGAACAGGAGGAATGTTGCTTATCACCCTATCCTGTTCCATTTTCCCAAGAAGGGCAATAAAAACTCTTATGGTAATTAGTACTCTCCCCAAGAATGTTAATTTGTTAATTTGGCACTCAGAGAAACAGCTCAGTGTCAGCAATTGTTAATTTTTCCAGGCTAAAAGCTAAGCAATTAACCTAACTGTTCCTGTAGAATAAAACAAGATTATCTGAAGAACTGAATGACTACTTCTGAATACAGTTTCAGCAAAGAAATCGAAAATAGATAAAAGTTATTCTGAGGAAAAAAATCAGCATTGAATATATAGCAGAAAACTGCTTATCTCTCATTCAAATATGAAAATGCTTCTCTTTACAGCCAGTGACTATGCGGAGGACATTTGGTCTCCGTGGTCTGAATGGACTACCTGCTCCGTCACCTGTGGCAATGGCATTCAGCAGAGAGGTCGCTCTTGTGATAGTCTCAACCATCGCTGTGAAGGCTCTTCCATACAAACTCGTACCTGCAATATGCGGGAATGTGATAAGAGATGTAAGCATTTCGCTAACTTGCATGGAAAATAGTTTCCTCTTATTTTCCTGACTTTGCACTGCTGTGTTCAAAAGCTCAGAATATTGCTTCATTTCTAATGGAAGGAGTTGATAGTTAATTATTAAAAGCAATGGGAAGCATATTGTAAACTTTATTGCTACCTATGGCATGCACAAAATAAAATGTAGTGAATGTGATTTTAATACTTAGTCTCTAAAATGCTAAATTACTAACTGTCCATCTACGATGATAGTATGTTAGAACAGAATTGTTGCCAGTGTTTTTTTAGCTATCTCTAGACTAATGACAGGACTAAGGCTAATAAACAGTGTAAACAAGCTTGATTCATCATAGTTCATAACAGGTCCATGTGTTTACAGTCAAACAGGATGGTCGCTGGAGTCATTGGTCTCCTTGGTCTTCTTGCTCTGTTACTTGTGGATCTGGTTTGATCACTAGAATCCGTCTCTGCAACTCTCCGCTTCCTCAGATGGGAGGTAGACAGTGTGAGGGAGAGGCAAGAGAAACCAACTCTTGCCAGAAAGTACCTTGCCCAAGTAAGTTTCATGGTAACAATTGAGACTTTTATCCAACAATTCAGGTTAAACTTTTCAGAATTTCTTCTTGTTAATCATCAGATTACTGCAATCATTTTGACACACACACACACACACACTCCTGGTAAGAAATGTTTGTTCTTTTTCATTAGTAAATGGAAACTGGGGGCCATGGTCACCATGGGACACCTGTGCAGTCACGTGTGGAGGGGGCATTCAGAAGCGTAGTCGCCTCTGCAACGATCCTGAACCACAGTTTGGAGGGAAAGACTGTATTGGTGATGCTGTAGACACTCAAATCTGCAACAAGCGAGATTGCCCAATTGGTGAGTAGTTGTTGTTTACTGTGGAACATAAAACACTGTTTGGGAGCTCTACCCAAACCAACTGCACTACAAGGATATAATTTGTCTCTTTGAACAAGGAGGACAGTTGAGATAGGACGCTGTCTTACCTGAAGAGTCGCAGTGCTGTTCCTGTTTCTAGCTTCTGCAAGATAGTGTAGAAGGTGGCCAGTTCTGCCAGAGTACTTTGTGTAGGAATATTCCAATTAGACTTGAAGGAATTCTTCAATGCATATTTCCATGAGTATTTGTTAAATTAGTCTACTTAGCTTGCCACTATTGTTCTGTGTGAGGACAACAGTTTGAACTCATTTTTGACTCAAAGCTTTATCTTGTTTCTCAGACGGGTGCCTATCAAACCCTTGCTTTGCGGGAGCAAAATGTACTAGTTTCCCAGATGGTTCCTGGAAATGTGGTGCCTGCCCTGCAGGTTATCGTGGAAATGGGGTTGTATGCAAAGATATTGACGAGGTAAGAAAACTTGAATCTTGAGTATACAGGAAGCTAAAAATTAAGCACCAAAACATCCCAAACATATACAAATAAGCCTGCAACTGACCTTTTGCCTTCTCTGTCAATCTTTTGTACTTCAGTGTCAAGAGGTCCCTGATGCCTGCTTTGTCATTGGTGGAGTACACAGGTGTGAGAACACTGAGCCAGGATACAATTGCCTGCCTTGCCCATCACGTTTTACTGGAACTCAGCCCTTTGGTCGAGGTGTTGAGCATGCAATAGCAAACAAGCAGGTAGTACCAAAATGTAAAACTCCTGTTTACAAAATTTTACTTGCTAATGCTACAGAATATGTGCTTATCCATGACAGAGTAAAACAAGTTCTGAATATAATTGTATAAATGTTAATTCTGAAAGAAGAGTAGTTATTATTTAGCACCTAAAAGTTGAGTTCACATGGTCACATTTGTTCCTGTGATTGTTCTCTCAAATACACAGTTACAGAGATAGATTCAGGTGGGTAGCTGTGTTGGTCTGAAGCAGCAGAACAAAGTTTGAGTCCGGTGGCACCTTTAAGACCAATAAAGTTTTATTCAAGGTATGAGCTTTCTTGTGCAAGCACACTTCTTCAGATACATTGAAATGGAAGTTACCAGTCCATACATATAGGTAGAGGGTGTGTATGGACTGGTAACTTCCATTTCATTGTATCTGAAGAAGTGTGCTTGCACAAGAAAGCTCATACCTTGAATAAAAGTTGTTGGTCTTAAAGGTGCCCCACTGGACTCAAACTTTGTTTTACACTTACAGACAGAGAGAAAGGTGAGTGTGAACTACAAACACAGGAAACAAGCAGGTGCTTTTTATGATCCCAGCTAATTATTTATTTAGCTATTTTTATCCCAGGCTATTATCCCAGGCTGCTTGCAAAATAAAATATCATAAAAGCAAAACATTAAAAGTTATTAATTAAATTCTAACATTAAAATCTAGCGACAGTATAAAAACACAGAGCATTGAGCAATACTTTTCCAACTAAAAACACTAAAACAGCGTTAAAAGAACCCTTAATTCAAAGCCTGGGGGAACAGAGAACCTAAGAGATGCCAATGTTGGATCAGGCCAATGGCCCATCTAGTCCAACACTCTGTCACACAGTGGCCAAAAATACCAGGTGCCATCAGGAGGTCCAGCAGTGGGGCCAGGACATCAGAAGCCCTCCCACTGTTGACCCCCCCCCCAAGTACCAAGAAGACAGAGCATCACCTGCCCCAGCCTGAGAGTTCCTTATCTATACCTTGTGGCTAATAGCCACTGATGGATCTCTGCTCCATATGCTTATCTAATTCCCTCTTGAAGCTGTCCATGCTTGTAGCTGCCACCACCAAGTTTGGGCCTGGCAACTAAAACAGAACAGCATAGGTGCAAGGCAAGCCTCAAGGGATAGCATATTCCATAAATGAGGTGCCACAACTGAAAAGGTGTGTCTCTGATTGCTGCCTGTCTTACCTCTGAAGGCTGGGGGCACAGAGAGCCTGGCATGTGAGGCAGATCTTAACTAGCAGGCTGGACAAAATGAGAGGAGGCTGTCCTTCAAGGGCAATTGCTGCTGGCTCCTGGCCTGTCTAAGTTACTTAATTTAAAATGAATTTAGAAGTAAATAATTTTAAAACCAATGGTATAATAGATGTGTTGAACAGAAACACATTCTTCAGCTGTTACTGTCTTGTAAATGAAGTCAATAACTACCAATTCATGTAGAAATGTATGGGCTGAATCCAGCCAGCTTTTTGCTGGTGAAAAAGGAAGGAGACATCCTCTTTAACCTCTTGAAAAGGCTGCACTAAGAATTCTGCATGTACAAAAGTGTTGTGAGATGGGGGCTGTAGTGCAGAGACGAACTGGGAAAGACCAAACAAAAAAGCTGGCTGGATCTAACCCTACATCTAGTTCTCCTGAAGACAAGTTTGAACGAAAAACCATAATTAACTATTATTTATGCATGAATGCTGACTGCATTCTTTTTATATAGGTCACATTCTTGCAAATACAAGTATAATTTTCTTCTGTGCTTCCTCCCTGTAGGTCTGCAAACCAAGAAACCCATGCACTGATGGTACACATGACTGTAATAAGAATGCAAAGTGCATTTACCTTGGCCACTTTAGCGACCCCATGCATCGCTGTGAATGTAAACCCGGCTATGCTGGTAATGGTATTATATGTGGAGAAGACCCAGATTTAGATGGGTGGCCAAATGAGAACCTTCCCTGCATTGCCAATGCTACATACCACTGCAATAAGGTAAGGATATTTTTCCATGTTCTCACATAACCATTAAATAAATTAGTACAGACCTCAACAGTATGCGTCTAGGAACAATGTTAGGATCAAGGGCTTATCTCAAGAAGTCCAATGTTATCAGCACAGCCACTGTGACTGGGTCATGATTGCAATATATTGGTAAATTTTCCAGTTCTCAGATTGTAATATCTATATAACATAGAGTTAGGCTTGCTTAAGCCCATTCAGTGGGTTTAAGCACACCTAGTTCTATGAGGATTATGCGTCAAGTATCTGTTTCTTGCAGTTGCACATGCTTGGCAGGGGCAAATGAACATTTTTATTTCTTGTTAAAATTTTTGAATTAAAGTGTGCATCCTGTGTAATGTTGATGATTTAAAAAAATTCATGAAATGGTAACACAAAAAAATAAAAACCGAAGCCTAATTTGGTGCTTTGCTATGCTTTCAAGCACATTTTGAGAGAGAACATGATTATGCTTGGATTGGAAATAATTATATTGCTTTTTCCATAGGACAATTGCCCCAACCTTCCCAATTCAGGACAGGAGGACTATGATAAGGATGGAATTGGTGATGCTTGTGATGACGATGATGATAATGACAACATTCCTGATGACAGGGTAAGGATAACAAAAACATTCATGACCTTTTCATAACTTAGACTATGGCCACCACACATGTTTGGTAGCCTATTTGCAGAACTCAGGAGTGAAAAAAACTGTACAAAATTGTAAACACATTTAGTATGTTCTTGGAATCTTTTCCAAGAATAGCAAGTACTGTGGTGGTCAAAGTGTTGATTCTCCAGCTATTCCAGGAAACATGTATAGCTTTTGTGAGCATTACAGGGCTAAAATTTGCTTATGACTTTTGGTTTTGTTCATTCATAGCATCATGCAGGCAAAGAGATATGCTGAGATGACTGAACTTCAACAAGTAAACAGTAATATTCCAGAGCATAGGTGGCTAGCCTTCCCCTTGCAAAGTTCACATTGCTTTTAAATGAACAGACACTTCAAAACCATTGCTCAATGTAGCACTGCAAAAGAGGTTGAAATATCACCCTCCTGACATAAAATGAGAAATGTCAAGCATCCAGTAGTGGTTAAACTGTACCTAGAGTTGTAGTTGAAAACTTAAAAAAAAATTTTTTATATAATTTTGCAATAAAGAATGGATTCTGCCTCCACCTTCTAATTCTGGTGGGAGTCTGTCTTTCTTTTCTTTCTTTCTTCTGCAGACAAAGAGGGATGTTCTAGCCTGCCCTACTGTCCTTATCTTTTTTCTAGTAAATCTATACAACAAACTATTTATAAATTTAAGAGTTCATGTGTTACAGGTATGTGCATGTTTTTAATGGGGCTTTTAAAATGTTCTCCTACAGGATAATTGCCCATTCATTTACAACCCACAACAGTATGACTATGATAGGGACGAAGTTGGTGATCGCTGTGATAACTGCCCCTACAATCACAACCCAGATCAGATAGACACCGATAACAATGGAGAAGGAGATGCCTGTGCTGTTGATATTGATGGAGATGGTATGATTTCCTTGTGTTCTCCCCTCCCCCATCCCATACCTATTAGCAATTCTGTTCACATAATAGATTTAATATTCTGTCTCTTGATATGCCTACAACTACTTCTCTAGTGGTTGTAGGCCAGAGAAGGCCTAAGTCATGATATAATTTGTACCCAAGAGTGGTCCAAGACGTTTTGGTGTCCGAAATCAAATTTCATTCCTCCATTGTAATAATGAGTATCGGTCATAGCCAGAAAGTTCTCCTACACAAGTCCCATTAAAACGAATGGGACTTACACTGTCACACTGATTTATCAAATTCATAACAAAACAGGTTATAAATGTAGACTATCCTAGGATGAGGTTTGTACAGGAGATCCCATGGCTCACACATAATGTTACTCTTCATGATGTCCCAAATCTGCCACCTGAACCAGCCACTGACTTGACTTGCCTCACACTAGAGCCTCTTCTGCTTATTCAGTTTATAATTTAGTCCATATAGTAGACGTCTGAATCTGTTATATTTGAACCCTAGTCTTCGTTAGATGCAGATCATCAATGAAAAATGGTGATGCCACAGGATATAGCCCAAATTATAACTTGCTGCTATGAATAATACCGAAAAGAAAGAGTCTTTCTCATGGCCTAAGAACTAGTTAAGAACATAAGAGAAGCCAATGTTGGATCAGGTCAAAGGCCCAATCCAGTTTAACACTCTGTCACACAGTGGCCAAAAATACCAGGTGGCATCAGGAGGTCCACCAGTGGGGCCAGGACACTAGAAGCCCTCCCACTGTTGCCCCCCCCCAAGCACCAAGAATACAGAGCATCACTTGCCCCAACCCGAGAGTTCCTGTCTATCTGTTGTTGTTGTTGTTGTTGTTCAGTCACACAGTCGAATCCAACTCTTCGCAACCCCATGGACCACATCACATGAGGCCCTCCTGTCTTCCGTCGTGCTCGTAATTTCATGTTCATTGTATCGATAACACTGTCCAACCATCTCATCCTTTGCCGTCCCCTTTGTCTTTTACCTTCAATCTTTCCCAGTATCAGGGTCTTCTCCAGTGAGGGCCCCCTTCTCATTTCGTGGCCAAAGTATCTGTAGCCACTGTTGTTTGCTTCCGTTATTTGTTCACTTTTGTACTGTCATCGGTTAGGATTAGACTCTAAACAACATACAGAGTTATATGCTTCTAAGCCTATTAAAGTCAATTAAGTCAGAAGGGAAGATGTGTATGTTTCTTAAGTCCTTAAACTATCTAAATTCTTTACATTTTAGGCATTCTTAATGAAAGAGACAACTGCCAGTATGTGTACAATGTGGATCAGAAAGATACAGACTTGGATGGTGTTGGAGATCAGTGTGACAACTGTCCTATGGAACACAATCCAGATCAGGTCAGCTCCTAATAACTCTGCCAACTGCACTTCGACATCCATGTTTCTTTGCAATACATGTTAAGTGGCAAACTAATCAGGGCAGAACACATCTCATGCATCTCCTAGTCACTGATAGTAACAAAAGTTATTGGGGATACTTGCACTTATGAAATAGTTGAGCATTTAAAAAAATAATTAATGAGACGTGAGTACATAAAACATTCCCATATGTATTGTTAGATGCAGTGTATTATGCTAACAGGAAAATCACACTGGCATCTATGAAAATATTACAGCTTCAAATAGTTCATTCTGACTGTGGAATGAAGTCATGTCAGCGAGCTACACACATAGCTAATAACTGAGAAAAGAGATCTGTGTTAAAATTTAACATAACATGTTTACTAACATAACACTTACACATTTCAGCCTTAAACCAAAACATATACTGAACACTGGAGGGTGTGTTTGCAAGAAAGTTGTATCAGTGCTTCAAGATGTCCTGAGGCAAAGAGTGCAACGAATTTCATCTCACATCAGTGCACGCATAAGATGCTTTGAGGACAAAGGTTAAAGGAGTACAAAATGCCTACTTCACAAAGATTGCCATTTCCCTCTTTCAGCTGATTTTCTCCCTCTCAGTTAGCAAAGTTAAATAGCATATCTAGGTATTAAATAAATCTGTAAACATTATTTACCAGATTAAGAATTCTAGAAGGCGAAATCCAGCTCCTCCTACTTAATTTGCTAGTTCTAAGCCAGCAGTGAGTAAAACTTGTGTGGTCCTGTTATGTACAAGACAGTAAGATTAATAGCTTCAGGGTCATACCTCAAATGCTTGAATGGTCCCAGCAAAATTGCAAGTAAATTATTGGTATCTGGATTTGTCCTGTAGGTTACCCTGTGAGCACTGTTAGTTAAAACTTACAATATCAAAGCACTGTTCTTTTTAAAAAAGGAAAAGATGCTTCTTTTTTAATGAAAGGAGCCCCAGCCCCCAAGAACAGCATACAACTCATAATGTTAATGAACTCCAAATATTCCAGTTTTGAAACTGTTGTGAGGCTTACTGTAAGCTATAGTACATCTTGCTATTGGACCATTAGCCAAATTTGCAATAACACAAGAGCTGATAATTTGGGAAAGACTGACTAGTCTCAGTCTGTAGTCATCTGAAGATCACACTTTAGTCAGTTATCAGCCTAATATAAAAGTACATATAGATTGTAAGTCAGTCTACGGCATTTCTAAAGGGGTGCCATAGACCTACAATATTCCACTGTACTGGTATGCATGTAGAAACATTAGTTTTAATATTGTATTGTGATTGGTAAGTTATTAAAGGGGATTTCAAGTTGTTAACACTTTAAAACAGTGAGGTAAAGCAGAGATACAGTTCTACAATATTTATACCTACAAGGTACAAAGTGCATGGAAAGTGGTATTTTTTTATCTCCATAGATCTAAAAGAGTAAATTAACAGAGGTTGGCTCTGGCAGAGAATTTGCATGGAAATGCATGCCGAGAAATGGCTCAGAAACTACACTGCTTATTCAGGGGCCTGATAGTCTAAGGTCTTGATCGTGATTCAAGTGGGTAGCCATGTTGGTCTAAAGCAATAGAACAAAGTTTGAGTCTAGTTGGTATCTGAAAAAGTGTGCATGCACATGAAAACATATACCCAGAATTAAACTTTGTTAGTCTTTAAGGTGCCACTGGACTCAAACTTTGTTCTATCTTTAAATATGCCAAAACAAGTTGAGATAAGTAGTTTCACTGCATCTGGCCATTAATACCATATGCGTTCTCTGCTTCTGTCCATATTTTTTTAAAATATGCATTCTGGTCCTAAATCCAGAATGCCAGCTGATGTGCAGTGGGAACATCTGTGTGCATGAGCCTCTCCTTTCATTCCAGTGGAGAATGAGTGTAAGGCAGGGATCTGTTTTGTTTTCCATTGCGAGTTTGCTCCTTGGGTTGGATGCTGGATCTTTCCATACCCATACAAAGGACTACCCATAAAGACCTATCCATTATATTGAAGTAAGGGATTGCATGTTACCACTACAATTTACACACCCACAAATGATTACTGCATTGGGCCAGATAGGGTCTTATCTATGTGCAGAGCTGCATCCTTACGAATCATCCATCAATCAGTCTCTTTCAAGATAGTTCTTATTTCTGTAGCCAGTGCCTTCTCAAAAGCTGGCTCTAACAGCCTCATCTGTTTCTCTTCCAGATGGATGCTGACTCTGACCGCATAGGTGATAAATGTGATAGCAACCAGGACATTGATGAAGATGGCCATCAAAATAACCTAGATAATTGTCCCTATGTGCCCAATGCCAACCAAGCTGACCATGATAAAGATGGAAAGGGTGATGCCTGTGACCATGATGATGATAATGATGGGATCCCTGATGACAAAGATAACTGCAGACTGGTTGCCAATCCAGATCAACTGGACTCTGATGGTAAGATAAACACTCCACGGTCCAGTTGTCATAGTTCACGAAAGGGCGGACTAGCATTTGTCTAGGCATGTAGTACGTCTAATCCTTAAAACAATCCAGTAAGTGTGCTGTCTGTTTTGTGGTTGCAGCATTTTCTAATCTGGCAAACATCTCCTTTCACCCTGATCTAGTGAGCTGCTGTGTACACACAGAACGTCCATGCCAGCAAAAGCTTCCCCTTTCACTTCAGTGTGGGGGGACGGGACAGTAGGGCATATATGGATTTGTCCCTCTCACAGAGGTCATAAGGAAGTCATCTCCCATGAACTGTTAGTAGAGTGTTGGATTGAGGACAGTATATAGAATTAGAAAGGCAGAGAAAATATTAGGATATGGAGGTTTTTATGTTGTTTTTGTCTAACGGCTTGTTTTAATGACTTTGATTTTTTAATACTGTGTTTTTAATTGTAAGCTGCCTCAAGCAGGACTCTGACGAGGCAGAATAGAAAGATTCTAAATAAATAAAAATGATGCTATAGGAAAATTAGTATGTTAGACAACAGGTAATTCAATTCATGGAAGACGATTGAAGATAGTCAATGGTGGCTTAAACATACCACTAAGTCTTGGAAATGACTAATGACAGATTTCAATACATCAGATCTGAAATATGGTGGATTTTCAGATACACTTTTTAATGTGACCTCCACCTCACCTTGCATTCCCCAATTTTTTCTACAACAGGGGATGGACGTGGAGATGCATGCAAAGATGACTTTGACAAAGATAATGTGCTAGACATTGATGACATCTGCCCTGAGAATGTTGACATCAGTGAGACAGACTTCCGTCGATTTCAGATGGTTCCCCTGGATCCTAAGGGAACCTCCCAAAATGATCCCAACTGGGTTGTTCGTCACCAAGGCAAAGAACTGGTTCAGACTGTCAACTGTGATCCTGGACTTGCAGTTGGTGAGCACACACTTCAGAATCTTTCTTTCTGTGCTCTCTATGTAGGTAGTGTAATAGGTTCTGTTTGGTCACCAGCAAGCTAAAAGTGCAGTCTTAGGTAGTGCCTTATATAGAATAACTTAACAAAAGCAACTCTTAGAATTCAGTTTATAATTATGTTACCCAGCCTTTCTTAGCATAGGTTGATGTGCCTCAAGGGACATCAGAACCAATAACATAGTCATAAATGGTCACAGCTACCTGTATTCTGATAGGATAAATCAATCCCCCAGAAAGGTATAATTTTAAAAGCTGCAGTGGATAAATGTAAATATAGCTTATCATGCCAGTGGGGCCATTCCCAAATGGTTTATAAACGATTTAGGAAAAAATAACTTGAGGGTGTATTTATGGCTTTTCCAGGTCTTAAAGCACGGTAACTACAAACTTAAATTAACAGAAACTCTATTTGTTCTAATTATTTGGACTGTGATATACAGTTGTTAATTCTTCACGGGAGGAAGACAGTACATATTACTTTGAGAGCAGAGTAAGATGATTACATGCTAACAATTTTGTTTTCTTTTCACCCAGGTTTCGATGAATTTAATGCTGTTGACTTCAGTGGCACATTCTTCATTAATACAGAAAGAGATGATGACTATGCTGGCTTTGTGTTTGGATATCAGTCCAGTAGTCGCTTTTATGTAGTTATGTGGAAGCAGGTCACACAGTCTTACTGGCTTGATACACCAACCAAAGCCCAAGGATATTCTGGCCTTTCTATCAAAGTAGTCAACTCCACTACCGGTCCTGGAGAACATCTTCGTAATGCACTGTGGCATACTGGAAATACAGCTGGACAGGTAAGAGGTCATTTTATCACTATCTTAACCTTAACTTTTTGAGCTCCTGAAATATTACACACTAGTGTTGGAGGGGTCCGTCTAAGGAAGTACATTTCTCATGGGATGGAGAATAAAGTATTAAGAACTTGGTATGCACTCAAGTGCTCTGTGGAAGCTTCAGCAAAGATTAGCTTTTTCCCATTCATTTCAGTGGAGAGGGAACGTCTTGAGGGAACATGGTCAGAAGCAATTTCTTTATCTGTCACCAATGCCTTCCTAATTATAGTTGCATGTTGCACATATTACATTTGTCAACAGAAGACACATTGTGTGAATCAGCTCTCCAAATTCTGTGACAACCAAAGGACCTTCTTATAATAAGAAGCCAATGTTGGATCAGGCCAATGGCCCATCTAGTCCAACACACTGTCACACAGTGGCCAAAAATACCAAATGCCATCAGGAGGTCCAGCAGTGGGGCCAGGACACTAGAAGCCCTCCCACTGTTGCCCCCCCCAAGCACCAAGAATACAGTGCATCACTTGTCCCAGCCTGAGAGTTCCTGTCTATACCTTGTGGCTAATAACCCCTGATGGACCTTTGCTCCATATGCTTAATTCCCTCTTGAAGCTGTCCATGCTTGTAGCCACTGCCACCTCCTGTGGCAGTGAATTCTAGTGAATCATTCTGTCAGTTTCAGACATGAAAAGTGGGCTACCAGGAAACACAGTTGACTTCTGTTCCTTTCTGTCATGAATGAATCAATCTTGTGCATCTTCCTTAGTGAAGAAATGCACAAAATGTCCCCACAGTGAGGGCCTGCACATCTTCCCACTGGGCATACAGGCAGTGTAAATGAGGTAGAGAAGAAAGTGAACAGGAAGTGCAAGGCTTCCTTTTGTCGTTTCTGAAGTGGCCTCTAAGTATGCTGTAGTTCTCAAGACTTTGTACCAGTCATAATCACAGAATGGGTAATTCAGTCATATTTTTTGCTTTTCAGGTGCGAACTCTGTGGCATGACCCTCGTCACATAGGCTGGAAAGATTTCACTGCCTACAGATGGCGTCTCAGTCACAGACCAAAGACTGGCTACATTAGGTAAACAGCATATAGACTTGTTTTCGTTAATTTTGGGAGTAGAAATATTTTCAGTGGCTGGCTTCAAATCTGCAGGGTAAACATACCATAGTCAGGCCAAGATGAGTTACTGTTGCTCTTTATTTACAGAGTGTTAATGTATGAAGGGAAGAAGATCATGGCAGATTCAGGCCCAATCTATGACAAAACCTATGCTGGCGGTCGGTTAGGATTATTTGTCTTCTCTCAAGAAATGGTGTTCTTCTCTGATCTTAAATATGAATGTAGAGGTAAGAACTCATTTTCCCTTAACACTGTCTCCTTGATTGAAATGCATTGAAATAACCCCTGTGGCAACCAGTGTTCCCTCTAAGCTGAGTTAGTGTGAGCTAGCTCACAGTTTTTTAGCCTCCGGCTCACACACTTTTGTCTCCGCTCAGGAAGGGTGGCTCCAGAGCAAACTAATTTATGCAGTAGCCAAATTGCTCACTCACAACTTTAATGCCAGTAGCTCACAAAGTAGAATTTTTGCTCACAAGACTCCACAGCTTAGAGGGAACATTGGTGGCAACTGTCTCTTACTGAAAATAATACGTTAATATATTAAAATTGTCATCATTTTAGTTTTCTAAAATCGTGAACTTCACAGTTCTCTGGCTTTTGGGAAACACACATTTCCTGTAGAGAACTACACTGGAAATTACAATTAATAGCTCAGCCTAGTGAATTCTTTCCTATATTTTGAAGTGTTTGCATGCAGACATACTAAGCCTGTTTCTACATATTACACTTTCAAGTTGCACTGTTGGGGGGAGGTTGCTTTATAAGAGAACAAATCACAAGCAAGTTCACGAGTCTCCCAAATGATTCCCCTTTTTGTAAGAGAAAAATGCAGTTAACCTTCAACACAGCAAACAGAAACCCAAAGACCTGCTGAGAAGTTGACCCACTAATTGTAACTGCTTAGTGACTAATCATAAAAGAGTAACTATTTGCTGTTTTCCTTTCTTCTTACAGATCCCTGATCATAAGGCGATTGATGCAGAGATTATTTCTGAAATGCTGGTATTGCACCTTCTGAAATATTGTTTCGTTTCTGCAAACCCTGGGACAATTTTGTTTGCTCTTTACTTTCTTCTGCCTTCGTAAACTAGAGACTCAAAATACATGATCTGCCTCAAGAGAATGCTTTTGAGAGAGAAAATTGCAAAGTACACTTCAGTTCTGACCTTTTTTGGCACAGAAGAAATGTCTTTCATGAATAAGAATATTCTTCGCATTTGGAGCCGAAGAGTCACTTCTGTAAGAAAGGCATCTGCATAGCTGGGCATTGTCACTGCCTCTCTTTAACTGGAGGTCCAATGGAGCAGCACTTTTGTAATGAGAACTTCTTTATGATGTGCCACGGACTACTTAGAAATGAAATACACTTCAACTTGTGGGGAAAGTGGGTGGGAAGAAGGCGGTTGTAAGATACAGATCTGTGCTTCCCTGGGGTTTACAGCCAGGTAAATTGGAGGAACTGTTACTTATCTGTCAAACAGTCTTATTCTGTGCATGGTTGCTCAGATGCAAATCCCACTGAATTAAGTGGAAGTTACACCCAGTCTGCTTCAGCTAATATGGAAATATTTTTCTTCATTATATAGGAAAACTAGCTATGCCAGCTGGTTAGCCCCATGCAGCATAAAACAAGTTTCAAAAATCCCATTGTGGGATAAGAGGTGAAACAAATTGGTACACCGGATTGCACCAAGTTGGTGGAAAATGGGATTCATAGAGACTCTTGGGAAAGCAAGTTTACATGTGCCACTGCATGACAACCTACAGCCATAGGTTTGATACCAGAGGTAGCTAGTGCAGATGTAGCAAGAACATTTGAGGTGTCAAAGAGCATCTTCATCTCAGCTTAGCACTTATGTTGGACTTCAAGGAACTATGTTTTATTATGGTTAAAAAGGCACAAAAATAACAAACACAATTAAATACAAAAAAATCTACAAAATGCAATGGAAGTTTTGGGGTGTTTTTTTTAAAAAAAGTTTTTTTAAAAGATTAACTTTTGTAGAAGAAAGGTTGTAGATAAAGAAAATGTAAAATATTTATTTTTTACCTATACTGTCTGTTATGAATAACTGAAGGACTATTAATAAAACAGAAAACAGTGCATCAGGACTATCCACGTAATCATTTTGCTGCACGTCTCTATGACTGTAAGATTGTAAATACAGGTTATTTATTGTTCTGTAGTAGTTCTAGACAGTAGAGTATGAAAATATTTTAGTTGCAAAGAACAGTTTTCCCAAAAGCAATGTGGAGCATAAGAAAAAGCAGCAAGATGGGGGTAGGATCTATATTCTTAGCATCTGTTTCCCCCCCTTTCTCTACAAGACAGCTGGCAAAGTAGACTGCCTTGCTGCTGCATTGCCAAGCCACAAAAGAAAAGTGTCAGTGTTGACTATCCTGGTCTCTCTCTATCATAAAAGAGATCAGGTCACATTTTATGAACACTGGCCTCAGTCCACTGTCAATACACACACTCATTTTTAACAGGATTTGCACAAGAGATGTTCTCAGTGGATTGTTGCCTGTCACCTTTGTGATAATGCTATGTAGTGTCTTTGCGTTGGTCATTTGTATCAGAATTCCTGACTTGAGGAGGCTGTCTGATGGAAGTGGCAGAGCCATTGCCGTTTAACTTTTGCAGACCTTGAAGAAACCAGGGTATGGTTGCAGAAGTAGAAAGGCCTCTCTGATGGGATTTTGGGAGCATTATTCAAAGGCTGCTTCTGCTCAGTGGGGCAGCACAATTATATCTTTGAGCTTCATCTTGCTGCAAAAAGAAAAAGAATGTCAAAGGTGAAAACTTTTATGTACAAATATTACCTCATTATTTTTGTAAGGCTGAGAAAAGGAAAAAAAACCTTTGGATCAGGCGCAATTTAGATATCTAACAAAATTAAAAGCTACTGTAGTATTAAGGGGTGGGGGAAAAGATTGCAAGCTGTACATAGTTAAAATTGTTTTTGCAGAGACTCGTGCTCCCCATTTTTTTAAAAAAAGGCATTGAAGCAATGCTAAGAACAATTTCTAATATTGTGTTAGTTTGTTTTAATGTCATCTATACCATTCCCTGTATTTGTATAAATTATTTTTTTCATTACTGTTGGAATAGTTAATCTCCTGTTGTGTAGATATGCTATTTAAATAATTTATCAGGAAATGCTACCTGTAGAGCTAGTGTTTCTATTTTTATAAAACATTTGCACACTGAATTGAAGAATTGTTTGCTTCCTATCCCGTGTTGTTGCTATTAGTATATACTTCTTCTAAAAATGAGCATATTTTGTACACAACTTTAACCATTTTACAACATAAAAGCTGTGTAAAATTGTACAATAAAGTTTCTTGCATACAAGAAACAATAAAAAATGGAAATCAGTACTTACAAATGTTGGGTCTGGTTTCATTTTTGCTGGGTTCTTTAAGGCCAAGGGGCAACTCGTCTGGGGTTGGGCATGTTCAATGGTTTTCTCACCTCATCTATCCTCAGCTCCAGCTGCCATTACCATTACAAAAATCAGAAGCACAGTCCTTCACTCTTTTAGGTTCACTAACATCAGTGAGCTTAGAGGGGGATAATTTTCCATTACAAATGTCTTACCTGCACTTTTCTGCATGTGTTTAAACTATTGGTGAGGATGTCAGTAAGAAAGCATATATTTTCAAGATTTTGATTCCAGTCTAAAGTAACCAAATCAGTAATCACAGACTACACAGTTTTATTAATAGGCTGGATTACTGATCTCTAGTAAAGCTTCAACAGTTATCAAATTTGGAGAGCAACAGAAAAATCATGTACATAGTGTGGCCTGTCTGTACAAGGACTTTACCCCAAACTGTTTGCAAAAGTTTTGTTAGATCTGGGAAGAGATTAAGGTACAAAGTCCTCTGTAACCAATCTATCTGAGAGAATGTGAGCTTTGAGACGTGGGTTGTTAAAATCCTAGGATATAAATTCAGTAGGGATTCATTGCCCAGGCTTGAATTCTAATCCCAGTGCATCCATCAAACAAGTGGTACTGGTGCAGAATGATGAATTCAGTCTAATTTGTACAGATGACTGAGAGTACCTAGGGTTGACAAATGGGACTTACCTTGCTGGCGGGGGACTCCCGGGTGGATCCTGGTGTGTGTGTGCGTGCGCTTTGCGCACGCGCGCTGTCGTTATGACGCCGGGCACGCTGGGGGCGGGGCCACGACCATACAAGGGAAAACCCCGCCCCCAGCGTGCCTGGCATCATAACGTCACTTCCCTGTGACGCGCACGCTGGGGCGGGGTTCCCCCCGGGGCCCGATTCTCCGGTGTCAGGGAACGGGCCTCTGGGGCGGGGGGTTTCCGCCTCCCGGGGGGACTTGGCAGCCCTATTCCTGACCCACAGAAAGGAAAAGCCCTAAAATCATGCACAATTCCTACATAACTTACAGTGAACCCTTCCTTGTAATTGTATACCTGTTCCTTGCTTTCCCTGCACATACACACATTAAAACGTAACACCTTAGAAATATTGTTGCTGCTTCACACCTTGATCAAGGCTTTCCCTTGATATTGCTGTGATGGATTGCACTTTTAAGAAGCTTAGAAGTGTTGTACGAACAAAGAACTGTGAAGGATTATGTTTGGGAAGTAGGTAAAGACTCCCATTTGGGCCAAAGAAAAGGGATAGATCAGGGGTGTCAAACATGTGGCCTGGGGGCTGGAGGCTTCTATCAGGCCTGCAATGGAACTGGCTGTCTCCTGTTTCTTCTTCCAGTTCTGCTGCTCCTGCATCATAGCTTGCTTTGCCAGACTCAATCACTCAGGAGATAGGCGAGCTTATGTTCCCTGCACTGGCTGAGGCTCCTCTCCCTCCCCCTTCCAGGGGAGAGAGGGAACGAGCCAGAGCTTGCTTCCTGGCCAGGCTGCCTCAATTGCACAGGAGAGAAAGGCAAACCTTTCTTCCCCTCCACTGGCTGAGACTCCTCCCCAAGGGAGGGAGGGAAGAAGGGACAGCTTGCTTTGCTTGCTGCCTTAATCATAGGGGAGAAATGCAAAGCAACTTTAAGACCAACAAAGTTTTATCCAAGGTATGAGCTTTTGTGTGACTTACTACAGCGTGTGTGTTTTGTTGGGCTTGTTATGCTGCGGCTCTCCTGGGTGCAACTGGGTTCCCTCCCCCTTTCCACCATATTCATGCCCTCATGATCCAATCTTACTCAGTAGGAAAGCAGAAGAGGAATAACAACAAGCAGGGGTCATTTCCTGCAGGAGCGCACAGGAGCGGAGCTCCGGCAGTAAAGAGCCCAGGGGGTGGGCACATGCAACAAGCCCCACCCCCTGCTCACAGCAGCCCTCAATCAGAGCAAGAAGCAGCCAGGTAAACTGCAGAGCCCCCCCCCCGGCCCCCCGGTCCAAAACAGTCCAGTGGCACTTTTAAAACTAAGTTTTATTCAGGTACAAGCTCTCCCTCCTCTGTGAGGACAGATCTGCACGTTCCCCTCCACCCCCCAATAGCTAGCAATCCAAAACAGTCCAGTGGAGCCTGAGCAGTGGGTGTTGCCTTCTGACACACTTCCAGTGATGTCAGGGGGTGTGCCATATGCAAATAAGTTATGCTAATGAGTTATGCTAATGAGCTCCTGCACCTCTTTTTCTATGAAATGACCCCTGACAACAAGCCAGTGAGGTGAATTAGGCTGAAAGTGTGTGTCCAGACCAAGTTCACCCAGCAGATTTCCTTTGGGGATTTTGAACTTAGACTTCCCAGATAGTAGACTGATACTGACCACTGAGGAAGACTAGTTTTGTAGACAAACACATAGCCCTCAGTATGTGTCATGGTGCCTTCTCATGCTCTTGACCAGTACGCAAAGCAATTTATGTACAAAATCTTACAGTGCCCAGCCATTTTATGTTTTCCCCTGGGTCCTAGGCTCAGAACTCTGAGCATGAGATTTCTGTAGTGAATGTCAATAAACCAAAAGTAGGTTTGCAGCTTACAGATACACACTTGAACAGCATACTCAAGATAGCAACAGCACATTTTGATGTAATAATTCATAGCAAGAGCTGTCAGTTATCAGACACTGTTAAATAAACAAAATATTGCAAGAATGCTAATGTTTTAAACATTTTTTTTAAGTTTAAAAAATCTTTAATTGTGTTTGTGTCCTTTATAAAGTTTATATCTTCGCTACTTGGCATTATATTTTATGATACACATGGCCCGGTCCAACAAGGTCTCATTTATATCAGATCTGGCCCTTATAACAAATGAGTTTGACACCCCTGGGATAGAACTTTTAGTGAGAGGAGAATTTCCCTGCCCAGTCAAACAGGGAGTTAGCTCTGAAGAGTGCATAGATCCCTGGTTTAGTGTCGCTAGAAATTGCCTGTAGAGACCTTTAGGCTGTGGTCACAACACACTAAATAATCCACTTTCAATGCACTTTCCAACTGGATTTTGCTAGTTCATACAGCAAAATCCACTTGGAAGGTGCACCGAAAGTGGACTAAAAGTGGATTATTTAGTGTGTGTGATTGCAGCCTAAGAGTCAAGATGAGTACTGGTGTTTCAAGAGAAGGGGTCTGGATACTGGAGAGAGTGTACATCCTGGAAACCAAAAGAGTCAGAGAATACTTAAAGAAAGGGTACTGGAGTGTTTGGGAAAACATTGGAACAAAAGCCGCTCAATATAAAGATTTAAGTAACTGTGAATAGCTTAAACCAAGGGTGTGAAAGATATGGCCCGTGGGCCACATCTGGCCCATGCACGGCTGCAATCTGGCCCAAGAGCAGCTGACTGTGCTGCTTCCTGGTTCCTGTTTGTAATGTCACAGCTCCTTTCCCCCAGTTTCTCCTATTTCCTGCTTCAAGAGGAGAGAAAGAAAGCCTTCCCTCCATTGGCTGAGGGCTCCCCCCTCCCCCTCTTCCTCTGGGGAGGGAGGGGGAGGAAGAGAGACACAGAGAGGGGAAAAGATGGCATCTTGTGGGACTTTTCAGAAGACCAGGGAGGGAACCAGCCAGCCAGCCTGAAAGAGAGAGAGAGAGAGAGAGACCTGTGTTTAGACCCAAAAACGTTTTTTCCAGGTATGGGGGGGAGAGTCCTGTGTTTAGACCCAAAAACATCCCTCCCCCAGGTATGGGGGTGAAAGAGTCCTGTGCTTAGATCCAAAAACATTTTATTCCAGGTATGGAGGGGCAAGTCCTGTGTTTAGACCAAAAGACGTTTTATTCCAGATATGGGGGGAAGAGTCCTTTGTTTAGACTCAAAAACGTTTTATTCCAGTTATGGGGGGGAAGAGTCCTGTGTTTAGACCCAAAAATGTTTTACTGCAGGTATGGGGGAGAGAGTCCTGTGTTTTGACCCAAAAAAGTTTTTTCCTGGTATGGGGGGGGGAAGAGTCCTGTGTTTAGACCCAAAAAAGTTTTTTCCTGGTATGGGGGGGAAGAGTCCTGTGTTTAGACCCAAAAATGTTTTATTCCAGGTATGGGGGGAAGAGTCCTGTGTTTAAGACTAAAAAAAAGTTTTATTCCAGGTATGAGAGAGAGAGAGACCATCCCATGGCACTTGGAGAGATCCCACTTTCCATTTCTAACAGATGGGGGGGAAACTAACAGCACAGCTTGCATTCCTTATTAGTGAAAGGGAGGAAGAGTACAGCAGCACCTTAATGACTAACAAAATTTGTGGCAGGGCATGAGCTTTCATGAATCACTGGTTACTTCCTCAGATACAGCTGGAATGTGAGTCCATCTGTCCTTATATCTTGGAGAGTGAAGTGATTTCAGATGCCAAAATAAAGAGCAGACATTGGTAATGAGAGAAGAAACCTAGGTCTCAATTCAGTCCAGGAGTTTGCATTGTCTTGAGCTTAATGATCAGTTGTAATTCAGCAGTCTCTCTTTCTAATCTCCCTTTGAAATTCCTTAGAGAACTGCTACTCTTAGGTCAGCAACTGAATGCCCTGGAAAGTTAAAATGTTCCCTGACTTGTTTTTTAATGCTGAGGTTTCTAATAGTTGTAGAAAGAGTTTGAGTCCAGTAGCACATTTAAAACTAACAAAATTGTGGTAAGGTATGTGCTTTTGTGAGTCACTGCTCACTTTTTCAGACTTATTTCAATTTATTCTTTGCATCCTCCA